GAAGCGCCTATTGTAAAACATGCACTTTCAGGCACAGGCACGCTTTGAAAATTGTGCCCTACAGAGGCCAGTGGCAATGCCTGTTCCTGAGGTGAGTGAAGCACCTGGCCCAGGTGAAGCAATTTTAAATTCCTCTGGGATTTGCATCTAGGAGAATTGCCAGGACATGTCAACAGATGGTGCTGAAATGGTCCTTTCTGCACGTCTGATGGGAAAAGCATTCTCAGCACTGTGATATTTTCCTCTAACCATAGTCTGCTTTATTGAAGATGCTGTACATATGTTGAGGGAATTTTGCCATCCAGTCTCCCTCATCATCTTTTAAAAGGTTGTTAAACCTTTTAAATACTAAATCTGATGTGACAGTGTTAAATGTTCATTCTCTAGTGAGGAAAAAGTCATTTTGCAAAACTGATCTATCTGACATTTTGGCTTAAATCTGCACCTGAGCAAAAGATGGGGGAGTCCCCACTGAACTCCCTCTATGTGCTGCCCTGTGCCTCCACCACCCCCAAGCCCCGAGTCCTGGTGGCCAAAACCCCAAGCACTGGGGTGTCCTCGGAGTCCAACAGCTCCACCGCACTGGTGAAGTGGGCATGGGGACTGCTCTGGGAGAATATACATGGCTGCTGCCTGCTGATGTACCTCCCTGAGTCTTGACTGCCCTACAAATGCCCTAACACACAGCAGGGGTTGTTTTGCCTTTGTGGATGCTCCAGCTGCATGTTCCTTCCAGCTCTTACTATCTCAGGTTCTTGAGCCAGAGCAGCTTCTGCGACGTTATCTATAGTGTTCCTGTAGTAAGATTTTTTCATTGACTGACCTTTTATTCATTACTTTTATTCAAAAATTACCCTGTGGTGTTTCCTCTAACAGATTATTAATTGTGACAATGGCTGAGTTAAACATAGCTTCAAACATTCCTCCCAGCACAATGTGACAGGTCTTCCCCTGCAAGGCAGTGCTGCACAAGCAGATACAATATGAGAAAGCCCCAAAGCTTTACACTAAACTGCGGTATGCTGTAATTCACCCCTGTCACCTGTTACACATGGTTGAGATATCTTAACAGCTTTAAAAGTTGCCTCTCAGGGCTTATACCTCTCTGACTACATTCAAGAGGGGCCGCTGAATATGGCTTGAGAACAACATAGTTTTACAAACAGAAGAGGAGCGTTCATGCTGCTTTCAGGAAATATCCATATCCATCACAGGACAACTAGTCGCAACAGTAGAAGACCATTTAACAAGCAGAATCTGCAAATTCACCAGGAACCAGACCTTTCCTTCTCTGGCGGGGCTAATGATGGCCTTTAATGACCCTCACAATCTGTCCAACTATTTTTCAGTTACTGATTTCAACAGTGTTGTTTTCCTAGATGTATATATCTCAGCTTTATAGTTACTGATGCCTGCTTACTTTTTCACATGGGTCATTCTTCCAGCTGCAGACATATGTCCTAAATGTACAAACATGCAGTGCTTGCACCCAGCACATCGGCACCCTTCCATGTGTGCATACCAGAGGAGATATGGCCTAGCTGCCATTCTGAAGAAGGAGAGAGATCTCCTCCATCCCTCTGCAAGCAGTGCTCAAGATCAAGCCCTGTGATGGGGTGCCCCTGAACATCAGATTGCTTCCTTTACCCAGCAACCTTAGCAAATGCTTTGAGTCCACTTTATCGAGGCTTTTGTTGAGATTATGAATGCATGGCTGGTGGTCTCCTACCCGACTAGGAGGTATAGACAGGAGGTGCTCCATCATATCCATCACCATGAGGTATCCAGAGGACTGCCAGCTCCATGAGCCTGGGCATAGGATGCCTCACTGGTCTCACCAGGCATTTTGTTTTACTCCAGAGGAAGTAAAATAGATTCCTTTCCCTGCATTTCAAGCTAGCGTTGAAATTACTGATGGTGAATTCAAAGTGTTTTCTGCCTGCTGTGATGTACATGCAGTTATTTAGCCACCAGGTCCAACCTGTCACCCAGCCCCAGTATCAGTTTCACCTCATTCAACCTCCAGAAATCCTGCCCTATTTTGGACCTCTGTTCCTCCAGCCCCATCATCCCAGGCTTGCAATGCGGGGAAGGAGTGAACAAAATGAAATATAATTCCCTGTCCCTATTTTTCCCAAGGTGGGTGAACATCAGCTTGGGGGTTCCTTGGTTCAGCAGCATTAACATGTTTGAGGGGAGGGGAGAACAGCTGGCCCAGGGACACAGGACTGAAGGCAGAGATGGAATCCCAACTAAGCCACAGTGAGCTGCTTGCAATTTTCCCTGCTCCTTTCCTCTTTCCCCTTTCAGTGAGAGAGGTGTCAGCTCTGAGGGCAGTGAGGACATGCCCAGCCTGGCCAAAAGCATCAACCAGGCTAAGCAGATTTCCCCAGGACACACTTAGATCTCCTAAGTTTCTTTCAGCTTCCAGCATATGACCCCACAACCTGAGCCATTGTGCTGCCATTTTCATCAGAAACGCTCCTTGTGTCACACCTGTCCTCAAGCACAGGCCAGAGGATGCTCTGCACGTAGTGGGTGGAAGGAGCCATATGCTTCCCACTGTTGGGGAGTGTTTGAGACTGTGTTCTAGCATAGTCTTCAAGGAAGACAGAGAAATTACACTGATAGATACCTTTAAGTATATCCTTTCAGGCAATATAACAGCTGGAAGCAACAAGCAAGAGTCAATTCCATATGTTTGTACTATACAGCAACACCAGACCTAGCCTTCTGCTGGCAACCATTTGAGATCCAGTGCCTGAGGCCATTGCATTAGTCAGTTAAAATAGGGCTTAATGCTATCCTGGTTCACACGTGCACCAGTTTTCCTAATGTCAATTATGGTTGCATGTTGCCTAACCAACAGCAGCATATGGTCCATAAATTGTTTACATGTCCTGTAATTTATGCTTTTTACATTGTGTAAAAAAAAAAAAAAACAATCTATCAACTGTGGTGTTGGTTGCAAAATATCTTCTCCTGTAATTACTCTGGTTATTTATGCCATGGTAATGTGTCCTTAAATGTTGATCCGTGTAAAAGGATTGATACACCCCAAAAGTGTAAATGGCAATTAGGGAATTTCATCAGATGTTGAGTAAGATGGAATGTTTGTGACACTTTAATGCTAGCCTTCACTCTGTTTCTCTGTCTTGTTGAAATGCACAGATCTCTGTTAAGGGAAACCTGCTTAGGGACAGCTCAATGAAAATCGGTATAATTACTATCCAATATGCAAAATAAACACTCAGCTCTCTCGTATGAATCATCGTTTCCTTTGTAGTAGAATTGTAATAAAGGGTCTAAGATCTACAGAGTATTCACTGTAAAAATATCATGAGTGGGTTTACACATGCCTTTGGCATGTGGCAACACCAGGATTGGCTACTAGCTAGAGAAAAAAAAAAAAACATCCAAATGCAGATAAAGTGCTTGCATGGAAGCACAGCCTATTGAAATTCTGCAGTTGAAGTGTGGCCTGGCATTCCCTGCTACGTGTATAAAGCATATCCTCCCTTACGCAGCTCTTGAACTAGTGGATTTTTGCTCAGTACTATTCACTGTTTATTTCTAACTGACCGGATCAGATCCTTTGCTATTTTGTGTTGGTTAAGCTACTGCAAATGGTACCACACCCGTTTGCGCCCCCAAATGTTTTGCTGTAAATCAGACAACGTCCTTTCTCAAAGGCATAACCAGCAGCTCTCTTGGGGACATGACTGGATGCCCACCACTACATGGTAAGCTGAAGAAAGAAGTGATGAAGCATTTAACCTGCATTTCTAACTAATGAGAACCTTTCACAGTGGTAGGACTGGTACAGTTAAATGCAGTGTTATCATGAATTAGAAACTGGGGGAAGTGAATGTGAAATTTCAGCAAAGGATAAAAAAAGCACAGGAGCACCAGAAGGAGCTGTGGACAACATGGTTAAGTCACAGACAGAGAGAAAGAGGACTGACACCAGTCGCAGGAGTAACTAAGCTGTTGGCTGAAGCATTATTTGAACATTTTGAAGGCTTCTGATCAGTGCAGCACTTCATGACAAGCCTGCTGTTAAACAACTATTGGCGTTGCTGAACTTTGCCCTGGGCAGCTCTGCAAAGAGTTTGGAAATGGAGAGACATATGGCACAACCTGTGCGTGTATCCTGGATGTGTTCTGATTCCTGATGGAAGGTGATGGCACGTAGAATCACAGTATTTCTGCATGGGTGTAAGAATCTGTAAGCTTTAAATCATGGGCCTAGGGTGCTTACTGCTTACTGCATTTTTAGAATAAGGCAGTTTACATTGTAGTGCATAAATATTTGTGTTATAAGAAATACTTCTGCTATCTTCATTTCACTAAAATATGATGTAGTTGGGAATGACAATTGCTTTTGGGTCTGGTTCCTCAGCTACTGTTGAGAACATAGTTAGGAAGTCTAATGACCTTTTTTAACAATCTTTAAGCTATTTAAGGAGTATTTTTTATTTCTCTATGTCTGTTTAATTTTAAGCTGCCTAGGTCATGTGTGGGTAAAAAAAAAAAAAAAGTAAGGTGGATATTTTTGAGCAATTATAAGCCAGACATCTCTCAGGTTATAAGGAGCATTTTACAAACACTCTGCTTGCCATCTTTCATGCAGAAGGGAGAAGCTGGGCCTAGCACAGTGACACAGATCATTTGTTATAATTCACCATGCAGCCTGTTGTGACAACAGCCCCGGCTTTGCTCCCCCATGCTTACCTTCACTGAGAACAATCTGCAGAACCCTGTCAGAAGATACCTTGACCCACACAATTGCGCTGAGCAATTCTTTTTATTTTTCTCTATGTGAAAATCTGTCATTCTTACGAAAATGTTGGACACACAGGACTCTAATGGTTTTCTTCAGTGCTTGATGTTAACCTTACTTCTTTTGCATTGCATTAGCTCAGACTAGAACTTCTCTGCACACTTATTTTTCTGCAAGTTTCTATGATATATATGTAAACAGATATCATTAAAATATCTTATTTTTTTAAAACTTCTCTTTATTTTTACATTCAATGCATGAGGACAGACAAGATGAATATTCATGACAAAGTATAAAGCCATATACTGTCCTCAAAACAGTTAAAAGATACAGTGTTTAAGAGTTTAAAAAAGTATTTTAGAAACCTTGTATTTCCAAAATTCCTCATTACAGAAAATTCAAATATTTTAGAAAAGTAGAGTTCAATATCCTTGTGCATTAAACCATATTATGAAAGTATGTGGGTGTTTTTCATCTTTACTTTAAGAAATCTGTCTCTGCATTGCTAACAATCTTTATGTAACTTATTGATGGAGTGAACAGACTCCATAATATGTAGTATACACAGTTACAAACAATTTGAAAAGTTATATTACAAAATATACAGTAGTTCCTTTTTACATTTTCATAGATAAACATTGTATAGTTTTCAAATATGTAATATATAACACAATCACGAGCTTTTTTCTGTATAACTTACGAAAAATTCTGTACACTCAAATAATTATAAATAAAGTGTAAATATCTTTTGGTAAGAGTAGGGGGGAAAATATGCCAGGACATGTTGTGCTGTCAAGTGTTAAACAGAACTCTTTGCCAGAATCTGCCTAAAACAATGGCACAATATGGCCTGGAGCAAGGAGAGAGGAGAAGAATGGCATAGATTGGAGGGGAAATGTTACAATGAGGAACCATAAAGTACTGATATGTCTGACTATTAATTATTACCCTGATTCTTTTGTAACACCTGCTTTCCCACAGTTATTATCACTGTGCTTGATGGTTTTACTTTAAGATGCAAAATAAGGTGCATATTGTTTAAGAAATGAGTAAAAGTAGATTAATGTTTCTTGTTTCAATCGGTGGTCAATGGAAACTTGAGGTAACTTGGAAAGAATTCTGGATATTTTTCTCATCTTTTTCCCAAAAAAACAGAGCATGGGAATTGCATGCTGGGATTTAAAGAAACAGATTCTGAAAGCATCCATAATTGCGAGACTAAAATGAAGAAGAATTACTGAAGATATCAAAATTCCACTATAAAAATGAGATGCTGACAAAATTCTGTTTCAGCTATATGAAGGACAAGGAAAATCATTTTTAAAAGAATAGTTTGGCATAACTCTGCTCTCTGCTACTAACCCCAAAAGAGCAGAACTATACCAAAACTAAATGCTTTTGAAAATTCACTCTGATTCTAAGCATTTTGTCACTGGCTCACAATTACAGAAACAGTTGGAATCTCAGTATGAATACAATTTGCGAACACATTTTCGGCAACACTGTTTGCCAGTTTAAATGTCAGTTTAAAAAAGTAAATTAAAACTAAAATATACATATTTACCTGATAGCCGAATTCAACCAACTGAATTCCAGAGCTCTGAAGAAAAAAAAAAAAAAAAACAACTATTTGGAATTCAATGTGTTCTAGCAGCACTGAGTGGCTGTTAAACTAAGGGTCTTCTCAGCCTTTCCATTTCAAATTTAATCAACAACTCATCCACGTAAACTGGCTTTAAATGACACTTGGCCTACACTCAGCCACCTGATTTTTTTTTTAACATTAGTGGTTGGACTTCAGATATTATCCCATACTTGCTGATATCTAAGCTATTGAAGGCCAGCAGAGGTACTCAGTGCATTTTTGAAATGCTCTTTTTCTGACATTGAAATTATACCTTTTGTCAGACCGTGACTCGGAACAGCCTCACAAGCATTTACTAAAACATCCGTAACGGTAAGATTTGAGCACAAGTAACTTCCCACCAAATGCTACACTACTTATGGATTGACTGCACACGGTAGTGACTACACTATTATGGATTTTATTTGGGATTTTAATCGCTACATACAATTGCCAGTAAAATTCACATCATTTCCAAGGAGAGTGGTTCAGAGCACAAAGTGATGGTGCAGAGTGAACACTCCTTTCTTTCCAGTAAATGTTACCGTGTGTCCCGTGCTTGCCATAATCTGCTCTCCAGGTTCCCTCTTTTGTGGCTCTAAAGCCAGTCTCCACCACTACTCTGAAAAGTCATTTTGTGGCTCAGCCAAATGGAGCCACAGTTGCACACAGATCTCCTGGCATCAGCCCAGGCTTGGTGGCTGTCTCCTCCCCTACACTGGCCGCTTCTCCTCCCTCACGCACCATTCCTCTGATTGCAGGGTTACATGGTGAACAGGCTTGGAGCGGGCCATCAGGAGAGAGGAATGGCCACACAACCACATCCTGAGTCCACCAGGCCCTTTGGTAACCACCCACTCTCTCCAAACTCAGTGCTTAACCTTCAGCAGGCAGAGGGATCAGCAATTATTTTTATGGCCTTTAGCTTGAGATAATAAAAGATTATAACTCCTGTCCCCAGTGTTAAAGGAGACAGAGAGGGCTCAAAATGGGTTTATGCACACCCTTATGCCAGAGTAGGACTCCCAGAGCTTCTGAAGGATTTCCCAGCATTTCATTTTCTTTCACACACATGGAATAAATTTTGTCCATACTGGGAAAATTACTGTTTTTCATTTTGACCACTGCAAACAGGCCAATAAAAACATTAGGATGCTCTCTTTTTTTTGGTTCTCTTTTTTTTTTTTTTCTTTTTTTTCTTTTTTTTTTCTCATTTCCAGAGCTTTTTAGGTATTATAAAGTAACTTTGCTGAATAAGCTAGTAGGTCAGGAAAGCTGTTCTACAAGTGCATTGTTTGTTTGTTTGTTTTTTAATTAAGTTTGAATTGATCACCACTCCTTTCATCCCTCTCTTCATGTGCCTATATCAGGATTTCTTTTGTTTGCTACTGATAGCATTGGATGAAGATACCGCATAGTAGATCCTCTGTAAGCAAATCTGTCATTAGCTTTTCAACTGATCATAGATTTCTAGGGACTCTGTCAAGCTTGTTTGACTCCATTCCTTGATGAGTGATATATCACTGGCTGCAGGAACCTAAGAAAATGTTCACTCTGTCCTCAGTGCATTGTCCAAGGTGGTTTTCAAGAGCCTGACATGATATACTGTATCTCTGCTAATATGGGTTTATCTGCTACTATAAGGCTGTGTTGTTTGTGCCTGTTTTTTCAACACAAGCTGCAGCTGGTGCCCTTCTTCCACCTCTTTCTTCATCAGCCATCGCAACGGTGTTTTCATAAACCTCCATAGTTTTTGGTTGGTTGTCTTTGGCACCCTCCTGTTCTGCATTGACTTTGCAGCACTTGCAGAATCCACAGCAGTGTTTCCCACAAAAGGCGAGTGAAGACATAAGTATATTGTCCCAGGGCTCTAGGGAGTGCATCCAGACAGGTAGGAAATCCCAGTTTTGGAGCTTCTCAGGCAGTGAATGTGGTCGCCTCTTCTGCATAATATTAATTATAACCACAGCCATAAAAAGAGCAAATATGGGAAGGCAAACACCCAAAAGGACTGGCCAGCCTGCCAGTGACAGACCAAATACAAACAAAGGCAAAAGAAAGAAGCAGAGGAGAAGATAAAATATAGAAAACCATCTGTACTTGGCTGATATGTTTCCCAAGGTCTTGGACATGCGGATTGGCAGCCGGGTATAAGGTAGTGGGTAAAACAGAATAATCCCAGAGACATTGAAGAAAAAGTGGCACAGGGCAATCTGAAAGCACAAACATTTGAGAAGTTCATTAGCCAAAATGTCTTTAAATACTCCTACACACATGAAAACTTCCAGTGGCACTAAGACTCCATGGTTTCTCTTCCCTTGCTCCCCACTGTTTTTTCTCGTAATTTGTGCTATTTCACTGCAGGGCTTTTCCTAGCACAAAGCTAGGACTTAGTAATACCTCACACATTGTAAAGATCCCAGCCTACAAACAGAGGACAGAATTTGGACACAAGGCAAGCCTAGAGGGGATGGCATATCTCCCCACAGATGGAGAAGTCTTAAAGTGCTGCTTTAAACTGCAAGTAATTGAGTCCATCAGAAATAAAGTTGACAAACCGAGCAGCTATCAGGAAATAGTCTTGTTGTTAGTAAGGCATGAAAACTACATGAGAACTGTTCGTTATTGTGTTCTGCAGCTGTAAGTTTTCAATGAAAAGAAGGGAAGTGTAAATTAGATATTGCATACAGGCTATAGAGAAATTGTTAGTGACACAAACCTGGATTTTACAAAAATTAGCTAAAATTTTATAGGGCACTGAGGATATTGCTGGAATATGGCTGTGTCTGAGACTTCTATAATCATTTAATTCACATACTTCATATTTTTTTTTTTTACAAAATAAGCATGAGGAGACACCTACTTGCTAAAGCTTTCAGAAGTCGCTTAAACAAAATAACCATATACTGAACAAAACAGTACATGACCTGCTCACCTTATCTTATTTTCATTCTATAACAGTTATCAGACAAAAGTAAATACAAAAGTACAGTGGTTTATTTTTAAAGTACATTATAAAAACATCAAGTTATCATGAAATCTGAGCTTGGTCAAGATAGTATCTTCTCATGATTACATCTGCTCTATCATGCCTGAGGACAATAAAATGACTTCTGTAATTTTCTTGATTTATTGTGGCTAGTAAAAAACATTCATCTTATTCACAAAGGAAACTTCATTATCTTTTCACTCTTTGATGTAGAGAGTTCATTCAAATATTATCTGCTGCCTGGAATGCTCTTTACTGAGTGGTAAATGGGAGCCCAAAGCCAGGCTGCCTATTTTTCAGATAGTCTGAGGAAATAAAGAATTCAATAAAACCCACTCAGATTAGATTTACAATAAGAAAATAGATGCCATGATGCTAACTGCAACCTCAGGTAGGTAGACAGCTTGTCATCTTAAGGGTTGTACAGCCTTCACCTATGTTACCGGCGTCCCTGTATACTGCATGAACAGAGTTAAGGTCCTGAGGAGGGAACCTACAGAAATTAGTAACCCTCATAGGGGACTACCTACGAGGGTTGTCAGAGATGCTGGCACTGAATTTCAAGCTACAGAGATCCCACGCTCAGGGGTCAAGTGGACCACCCTGTTTCAGTTCTGAATTAATTCAGTCAGATCAAGCCCGATTTATGAAAGTAAGATTTTACTATATATTGACATTCTGGGATTGTTTAATACAAGCTTTTTGCTCTATCAGTTGAATAGCACACATAAAATCAGGCATGACATCCATGGCATATTTGCATCAGAGCCAATTTTGTCGGGTTCTTCTTCAGAAAAGTTGCAACTTCTAAATGAAGTCAAGGAATCATTGGTTTACACTGACCTGTAATGAATATTTTAATGTACTCCCTGGACTTGCTAAAGCTGCAAGTATAGCTGTTGTGGTTGTGCCAATGTTAGCTCCTAAGGTAAGGGGATAAGAGCGCTCAATGCTTATAACGCCAATGCCTAGGAGAAAAGAAACAGGATTGAGTGGTTTCAGAATGATGGAGAAGATAAAACATGGGGATAGAGAATACAGTATTGACAACTTACCAACAAGGGGTGTAATAGCAGATGTGAAAACAGAACTACTTTGGACAACGAAGGTCATACCAGCCCCTGCGAGCATAGCCAGGTATCCAGCTAGCCAAGTAAAAGGAAATGGGAAATCTGAAAAAGTAGAGGGAGAACATTGTGTTTAGTATAACAGAATGCTCTATGTAACAGTAACACAGCAGTGAAAAGTCTATCAAGCATTTCAAATGTAGATACATTGTTTGCATATTGTCTCTTAAATGATGGGTTTGGGCCAGAGTCGGTTCTACTACTCTAATTTACCCTGTTCACTGTACTCCCTCTCCAGCCTTCCACCACTGGATATACTTTGAGATAGATACTAGACTAGGTAGACATTTGTCCTGACCCAGAGTAGAATTTATGTTGTAATACAATTAGGTACCAGAAATGTTTCTAGAGGCCAACACAAAACCTAGGTGCCTTGAGTGCCTTGGTTTCGGCAAGGCACCTGCTGCATGAATCAGATCTTCAGAAAGCTCTGAAGACTGTCCTGAGAAAATTGTGTTGGCCATTCTAACTACTGTCAAGCAGATCACTTACTAAAAATTCACTTGTTAGCATTTGTAAACAAAAGCTAATCACACTGACTGGAGAAACTAGGCACAATAATCCCCTGTAGTCTGCAGATTTATGAGTGAGCCAAGAATTGAGGATTGAATTAAGCAGGAAGACAGAGAGGAACACAGAGTAGATCACAAATGAACAGTAGCTGGCAGCTGATTACTTTCTACCCCTTGTTTTTGATTCCAGCAGTGTTCTTTGCCCAAGAGAAGGGAAGACAGCATGGGGACCACTTTGTTGCCTTCCCCATTTCTGTGAACCATCTCTTCAACCACAACCAGAGACTTGCCAGGACTGCTTTTCTCTGCTACAGGTCCTAACATCTCCATTCAAGGGAGGATCAAGAAAAAGAAGCCATGTGAAAAAAAAAAAAAACAGTGTTTGCACTCAATGGATCTAGGCTGAAAAAACACCTGGAGAATGCAGGGAAAGACAGAAAGTACCACTATTCAGGGCTGACTTATCCTACTGAAGAGAGGGTTAAACAGTGGAAAAGGATAAGCAAAGGGAATTAGATCATTAATCACTACTAACTATTTTTCACCTTACTTTAGAAGAAACACACAGGCTCTGTGCCAGAGCAAGCAGTCACGATCTCAGCACTTCAGCGCTATCTTTTGAGGATGTGAACATTACGTTTCTAACAGCTAATGATTATACATCAAGAAACAGAGCCTGGACTTTGCTCTCTGTTGCTGTTAATCTGCTGCAATTCTCAAGCAAGCTGTTCACTAATAGATTTTTAAAAGAAAGAAAATAACATGTTTGGAAGAAAAAATGCTGGGGGGGAATTGATTTTAGTTTAATACTGTTTTCATTAAACTATTCAATAACATATCCCAGAATAGGAGATATCAACATATGTGTTCAGTGTCCTTGTCATTCCTGAAAACAATCTTCAGGAAAAGCAGATAATTACCAGTGTTGATTGTCTTCTTGATAACGCTTGCCACTTGTCCTTTAAGCACAGAGTTTAATAGCTTAACAATCATCACCAAACAGGAGCACAGAACAAGCAGGGACAAAGCCAGAAGGATGAGACCGATGCCAAGATCAGGCAGGTCTGAGTCTGTGAAGAGATGCCGGCCTGAAAAATAAAAGGAAAATCAACTGGCCTGATGCTAAGCCCAGCTTTAGTTTTCGTACATGCCCCTTAAAAAATGGAACCAAAGCACACACAGTCTGAAAGGGTGATGCAAAGAATGAGAACACCACCTCCCTTGCTCCATAGAAACCATGTCTGAAGCGGGGGCAGGAGGGGCTCTTGTATGGATGTGCTTATAAAATACACAGCGGGAAGCCCTGCAGGGCAAGCAGGAGCTGGGTGACCAAGAGCAAGGGAAAGGAATACAACAGCGTGAGGAAATGTTAGTGTGCTCTGAGCTGGATGGATCTCCTCAGAGGTGGCTGTGTGCCTGAGAAGGGCTGCTGAAATTCCTGAAGGGCATGCATAGGGATGAAGATATCCAAGCAACCGTTACAGCAAAGTAACTATAGCTCCAAGTCACCTGAACAGCGAGGGTGACATGATACTTACTGGAGACCTCAATTACTGATATCAGGGAGCATGGAAAGAGATCCATCTGCAGCCAGATACCATGATGATGCTGGTAACTCCAGCTGTGTAGCTATAACAGAGCGTGGGCTTCTCTCACTGCACGTGCAGTAGTACCTTGTGTCCATACGCAGTCGAGTGCCTCTCAATATACCTCTGAAGTGGTCTGTTAACACCGTTAGAAAGCTATATACATTTTTAAATATGTTACTGAAGGAGAAATAGTTCTACTACTCACATTTACTGATATATTCTGTTTCAGTTATATTCTTGAGGGTCCATGTCACATTTCCTTCAGTCCAACAAATGTCAGGAGATGTGCAATTTTCTGAAGGTGGAATTGTGACATTCTGCAGTGTCTAAAGATTACCAGACAAAGCAAATAGTTCAGTCACCTACAACCCTTCATTAAAAGCTCATGCAAAGTTCTAGGGTTTTATTACAACCAAGCATTCATCAGCTAAAGGCAGATTTGTAAGCTCTAGTATAAATTGGCACCACATTAATGACAAGTCAAAATCTCCTGTATTCTTAAAATAAATGGTTGCGCTGTTACTAAAGTCAATCAATATAACATTTAAATATTAAAATATCCCCCAAGACTTCTACTTTGTAGTAAACGTATCATCAAGTCATCAGTAGCTAAGAACCTTAACTACTGATGTCAGAGTTTGTGGAATGAGGTTCATGTCTAGATCCAGCTGGGGGACAGTGGTGTTCCTTTTCCAGCCAGAGCCACAGCTTCCTTGGGCTAAATAAAGTCCTCTTTACTGTCACCTTAACTGCAGTTAATGGTCTGGTGAGTACTGCACAGGACTGTGATTCAGAATACTGTAATGCTAGTGCAGCCTCTGTTGCTGGATGAGCCCAGGCTGATCACAGTGACTTTCTGTGCTTCAGTTTTCCTCTCTGTAGAAATAGAAGTGATGCTACTATTTTCCATTTTAAAGCTCACATGCTATCTAAGAGCTAATTACTAGCACTCTGATTCGCATTAGTACTACTGAGCTGAATGTGAATACTTATTTATACCACAATAAAACCCTCCTTGTAAGAGCTCCTAGCCCAGAAGTATTGCATTCTGACACTAGGTTCATAAATCCTTATGCAGATTGAGGAAGAGTTTGCTGACTGAACTTTACTTCGCCACAAGAGCAGCTAACAGCCAAATGGACTCTGAACCACACTGCTGAACAGGGGGTAGCTTTAAGATATGCTTGAGAGATTTTCTTTTGCAGAAATGGAGAAAAAGAAATAATATTTTCTTGCTAGACACTGCCTGTAGACACCTGCATTCTCATTCCCCCTCCAGCTAATTCAGATGGGCAAAGCCGGGGGTATATCCAGTGCCCCCACATCTTCAGGGAGCATCTGGTCTCCAGCCTCCCCAACAAGTCAGCCTTTACAAACACAATAAAATGTTGTTTCTCACCTTCCTGAAATTTTTTCAGACATCTGATTTTAAAAGCAGCTGCATGTGATCAAAATATTTATCCTTATGATTTTCTTTAAACATATGGGGTCTTCATGCATTTATCCTTGCCATAAACCTGCCTAATCATTTTTGCCAAAAATTAGTTTAACACACTAGGAATGTAAATAATTTAAATGATCTTCCTCTTTCCTTACAAAGTTCAAGGCAAGCTTGTAGGAGTTTCATGTGTTTTTGTAGTTTGACTATATGCTTGGGCAGTAGTTACACAGCCAAAATATAGACAAACACAGGAAAAAAAAATCATATATGGAAATGTAACCCTCAGCCTACACTTTCTATGTAGTTGCTTGTCTTCTAAGAGTGAGGGGACTGTAGAACTCAGGGTCTCACACCTCACTGAGACTTAGGCTGTGCCTGCCCGGACAGTGAGATGAAGAGGTAGCCAAGTGCGGGCCGAGGGCCTGAAAACATCATACCTCCCCTGAGATTAAATACCCAGCTCCGAAGTAGTGTAACCTGAGCAGAGTTTCACATTAGCACAGCTCTGCTCCTGGCACTATCTCCCTAGCTAGCATTTCACTGGCCATCCAGACTGTCATTCAATAGGAGCTGGGCTCCTCTAGAAACCCATACACTTAATTTTAACCTCCATTGTGTATCCTTAGGTATCTTCTGCCTCAGGACTTCAGGAATTATTTTTCTATACATACCAACAAGTGGAATAAATAGAGATCCAAGGGATATTTAATGCTCTAATTGTTAGTTAGCTGAACAACACAAACCAAACACTCAGCCTCACAATTTACCAAAATACTAATTGGTGTCGATCTGGGCAACAGATTCCTTCAAGCTGCAGTGTTGCTTGGGTGAAGAACAATGGGACATAGCCCCACAGAGGATTTTTCTGAGGGCAGTTTTCCATGAAAGCTGCAAATAGTCAGCTGCCACCAGATCATCCTAACATATGTAATGCTAAAGCTGGTTTAAATCAATAGATAAATGGTGGGCATAAAGATACTTTCTTTGGCCTCTATTGTAGATTTTTTTCACTTTTAGGGAGTCGATAGAAGTATCAGAGTTTAAAAGCATTTGGATGTGAAGGGCATAAAAGTCTTGGCTCCAGACCACCACTTCTGATAAGCAAGGGCCTGCATGGTACTGAAAGCAACCAGGTCAAGCTCACCACTGGCATGATATCCTTGGTTTAAGTAGAGCAAAAACTACATTAAATTGTTCTAATTATTCTGCTGAAAAAAATATCACCTCATTTAAAAATCTAATTTTTTAATCCTATGGTAAGGAGTGTCAGCTACAGATCAGTAATACATTTCCTGAGGAACCTGACAATTAATTTAGCATGATACTCACCACATTGGTTTCAGTTTCACACCAAATCTTTACCAGGCTTTTGTTTTTTGCTGCTTCATCATTTGTAGCAATTGCATTTATTACTGATTTATCAAGCTTTAAAAACATAAAAAATATAAAGAAGGAAAAAAAAAAAAAAGCATTATTCCAACTTGCACCACACTTCCGTTCAGCTCTACTCAAATAACTCCTTTCAGAAGATCAACCACGTAAAGCCTGCATGGCTATATTTAATGCTGGAGCTGCTGCCCAATGGTTAGGAGGGGGTATATACTACTCTATATTAAGAGCTACAACTCTATGTGCACACACACTCTGTCTCATTCTCCCCAAACCACCCACCACCTCATCTCACCCTTTCTTTTTAAACAACTACACTGACACAGATGTCTAAATTAATTTACTGTCATTTCAGGAGCTCTGCACATTCCCCCTTGGCCTCCATCTGTCCCTCTAGATATGTGCGAGTTTCCCATAATTTCAGTGTCATCTCTTCAGGTTCTATGCACATCTTCTGGATGTGTTAGAGTGTCTCAGCTAGTACTATTTACCAGTGTCTTGGCAACAGGCTGCCATCCCATCCATCCCATGTGGCTGTATTTGTCCTCACCTGCCTTCCCAGTTCTCCTAGCTAGGTCTATAATTATTAAGGTAAAATGTGGGGGAAATAGAAACATGACAGATAGAGATAGGGTTTTATGAAATGTGAATAAAAAGAAGAATCTATCTGCTAATGAGATTTATCCTGAGGACAGTGAGAGCCCCCTCTGCATATTCAGAGCATTTTGATTAGCTGTGGCTGAACCAAGTAATCGGCTTCCTTGAAGAGAGAAAGAGCTTACCTCAATGATGAGCTTTGTAAAGGGGTCTGTAATAACTTTTAGTAGCTCAGGGGCATCATCACCACTTTCAAGATGAAAGGAATCAACTATAACACTGGTGAGACGGTAAAGGTAGCCAGAAATTACTTCAATGGGCAACAGCGCAAACACAGCGAGCCAGTTAAAGAAATCATGGATTGTTGCCCCAGCAAAGGCCCTGCAAGAAGAAATTGAAAACCAGACCTGCTTTTAATTAAATGACATGGATAACATCAATTACTTTTGAAATCATAGAAGTGGGGATGAAACCAATTTCAAGATGGAAATAATTTAATTTCTGGGGTTACAGGAGATGGCTACTTTGTTATAGAGTGCTAAATTGTCTCCACACCATTGGTGATGTGAAAAAGCCAGTCAGGTGAGTGAAAAAAGACAAACTAGAAAAGGCAAAAGTGATCCTTAATACAAGGTTGCCAAGACTACTTGTCTGAAGAAAAAAGTGGCTGTACAGCCTACATTTGTTTTGCCTCTCACCCATTTCTGGTACGTTTTTAATCCTCAGCCAGGAGTTGCCTCTGGGACCTATTCTCCCTGACTCGTGGGGGAAGACAGCTCTTTGCAGCCCTCTCACATGTTCTTACAAACCGTTGATGTAGACCTTCCTTCCAACTTCTCCTCCATAGCCTAAGGAGCCACAGCTCTTCCCTCAGAGGCTTTGGCTAAGCTTATTTCATACATCTGGTCTGTCATAAATGACATGATACCAAAGTCTCATAACCCTCCCAAGTTTACTGCCCATCTCCAATAAGCTATGAGCTCTCTCGGTGATAATGTAAAGTGGCAGTCTAAAAGTTGTCACCGTATGTATTTGACATCCATAACACTTCATTTCCTTAGAGCTACCAGCTCTTGCTTACTGTAGACTTAAAAAACCTTCAACATCAAAGTCTCTTTTAAGGAGAGTAGACCAAAATACTGTAACAACTTCTTGTACAGTCGTCCCATAACTAAGAGATAATCAAAGGTGGATGGTATAGTGAGAATGGTTGAAAATTTATCCTTGTGCAAGATCCAGTTAAAAATGGTGAATTCTTATAAAAATACAAAACTTTTAAAGGAATCCAATATGATTTCTTCAAATATATGAAGCCATATAACTAGTCAGCATTATACTTTGGCCATGGCCATACTTGTGACTTTCCTAACTAGACATTCAAATTTTGGTCAATAGAAAAGTTAAATGGCTGTAGTAGTGATAGGGTACATAGAAGAAAACCTACAAAGAAGGAAGAAAAGCAACGTTTCAGATCTAGTGTTTAAGTACAGTACCTTCTAAATTCATTCCTGTCCCCAGCTTGCATGAGTGCCACAATTGTGTTTGTAACTGAGGTGCCAATGTTTGCCCCCATTATGATAGGAATAGCTGCTTGAACAGTCAGCACTAGAAAGCAGAAAAGGAAGCATTGAATGAAAAAAACAGGTCATCAGCAAGCTCTTTGCTCCAATGCAAATTAACATCTATTAAAGTCACTGGCACTATGACTTCCCTTGATGTCACTGGGATTAGGTGCTCCTATCCAGGCTCGTTTGCTTTAATCAAGTCCCCTCCAACATGGTTGCCCCATAGTCCCATGATCCCCACTGAAACTGCAGCCCAAGGCTATCCCTTTTCACCACATGTTAGAGGGCCAGATTAAGATAAAGTCTTTTCTTTCCCAGGCATTTTCTTACTGAAGAAGTTTGTCACAGAAACAAATAAAGCTCAGTAACTGGCTAACATAAGAAAAGTATGCAGATATTTCCAAAATTTATGCATTTAATATCAAGGCTTCCAATGAAGTCCAGTTGTGAACTTACTATTAGTACAACTACTACTACTATTAGTAAAAATTTCATTTTATATCAGGGCAACAGCTGTGAAAATCTTTTCCTGCAGTCTGTACTCTTATACCCAAAGCTTCTAAAACTTGTACACAGGTGGGAATATTTGCACCCTAGACCAAGATTTATGAGTGATCTCTAGGAAGATACTGTAAGCAGACTTACGTGTGGAGGATACCATGCTGACCACAATGGATGAAGAAGTGCTGGAGCTCTGGACCATAACGGTTACCAGAACTCCAATCACCAGTCCCGCAACAGGATTAGACAGCACTGAATCATCTTTAAAAATGTCCCCTGCTGCTTTACCTACAAAAATCATATTCTTGGAGTGAGGGAAGTGCAAGGTAAAGTCCACTGGAATTATCAGAACATTTAATTAAAGAATATTCAACCATTTAAGTGATACACATACAGCCATGCTTGCCAGTCAAAAAACATACAAGATGACGTAGCCCAGGGATCCAAATTCAGGTCCTGAACTCTCAGCTTCTCAGTTATCAGACAATACTTTATATTCTCTCATTTTAGTGACTGAACAAGCTCTACTGAACTCTGCAGAGAATCATATAAAACCACAGCCATCAGAGGAATGACTATAGGACAAAAACCCACACATGCATAGATTTAAATATTACTACTGCTTTAATATTTTTGGCTACTGCATCAAGGAAAACTATTCTAATAATCCTGAGTAATTCTATTCCTGTAGCTTTCTGTATTGCCAAAAATCAAAAGCATCTCCACAGAAGCTCATTTATTTCTCTGATAACTGCTTCTGAATCCATCGGCAGAATTCAACCCTTGAAGGTAGGTAAATGTAAAAAACACTTTTTGTCCTTGTTTTTTGTCCTTGAAGGATTTGGGGGACATTTCAGTGTTGGATGCTTTGATCAAGAGTGCAATTTTCATATTTCACTTTGTTGAAATGTCTTTCACATGGGACAGATTTATGAACAGATGTATTCATGTAAACTGTCACTAAAGTAACAGGAACCTACTAAGAAATTGGGGCCAATAATCCCTACATCAACAGCTCTTTGGAATTTGAGAAACAATGACTCTTTCCAACAAATGAAGGCCAGTCTTCAATCAGAGCTACTTCCTTCTGAAACTGTATCTCAACACATAAATCTATAGAGAATGTTCTTGAAGAGTGATACTTGTAATTTAGTCACTCAGATGCAATTTACTGCCTCATTCATAGTTTATTCTTGATATTTTAGTCATTTTCATACCTCCTACCAGCTGAAAAGCAGAGCTCAGTACATCCAGAGAACACACGAACATGTAGAGTAATCCAAGTAGCATAATAAACTTCCCTATCCCGTAGAGTACACGAATGATTTTTCCTTTTCTATCCAGTTCTGCAAAACAAATACATTATGCATAAAAGACTTGTTCTATGTATCTGGTATTCTCTCTAGAACAGTCTAGCACACAAGCAGATACTATAGTCAAAGACAGTCTTATGACTCCAGTGTGTGATTAAACCTGAAAGAATGTTATTCTTAATCAAATTTTAACTGCAGAAACAGGTGATTTGTTTACATAGTTTTACCATGTAAAAGTATTTGGTATATAACAAAAGTGTTATGAAATCTGAGATTAACCCTTGATTTTACACAGTCATCCTACTGAGTAAAGAAAGACCAATAGGAGCCTGGATATAAAACCATATTAATTTTTGATTGTTTTCCATGTATCTCCTTGTGGTTTAAGGAGAGTAAGCAGCATGATTTCCAGATTCTGCTTAACTGACTAAATATAATATCCCCATTCACTGTTGGGGAAGATGAGACGGAGTGTAAAGCCTACATCTGAAAACCCCTCAAATCTTAAATTCAGTTCTACAGCAAATACAATTTCAGAAAAATAACCAAAACAAAGAGAGCAGAAGTGATGAAAAAAATAAATGCATGTAGCTTATTTACTGAGAAATGGCTACCTGACCACTTGACCCCAGTGTCCTGCAGTTCCGGCAGAGCCCATGGGTCTTCTTCTTCTTCTGGCCTTGTCTCATCTATCAAGGCTATTGTGGAAAATGCAGGTTGAATTTCCCCTTTATTTCCAAGTGCAGTCACGTTGCCTGATAAAATAGAACATTAAAAAATAGTTTAATTACTTTCCATCTTCTCCAAGGAGCCCCAAAACTTATCTATCTCTGTAACTCACAGGTGAGCACATATTACCTTTGTGATTTTCTCCTTCTTTCCCAGTCATGTTCTGGTTTTGTTTGGAAGGGTCTCCAATATAGTTATTGGTTTCAGGCTTTTCCACCTCGGGCCAGGGAGCCATGATCTATGACTAACAAAGCAGTGCTGATTAAAATGTGTGTGCAGTCAAAATATTAAACTTCTGACAGGGTATGTGAGAAATACAATTACATTTAAGAGCAAAAGAGATGGAAAGGGAATGGAAGCAATTTGTCCTTGAATACAGGTTTTTTGCCTCAAGTCTTCTATGTCAAGTGCTCCAGACACACTACCCAATATGCAGAAGGCAAAAGTGGGGACTAGGAGAATGAAGAACTACCCACTGTAGGAGAATATCAGGTTCAAGACCATCTAAGGAAGCTGAAGGTGCACATGTCCATGGGACCTGATGAGATACATCTGTGGGTCCTGAGGGAACTGACTGATGAAGTAGCTAAGCCACTATCCATCATTTCTGAGAAGTTGTAGCAGTCCAGTGAAGTTCCTGCTGACTAGAAAAGCCCCATTTTTAAAAAGGGAAAAAAAAGAAGACCCACGGAAATACAGGCCAGTCAGTCTCAGCTCTGTGACCAGCAAGATCATGGAGCAGATCCTCCTGGAAACTATGCTAATGCACATGGAAAATAGGAGGTGATTGGTGACAGCCAACATGGCTTCACTAAACGCAAATCATGTCTGACAAATTTGGTGGCCTTCTACAATAGGGTTACAGCACTGGTGGATAAGGGAAGAGCAACTGATGTCATCTACCTGGACTTGTGCAAAGCATTTGACACTGTCTCACAGAACATCCTTGTCTCTAAATTAGAGAGGCATGGATTTGACGGATGGACCACTCAGTGGATAAGGAATTGGCTGGATGGTTACACTCAAAGAGCTGCGGTAAACAACTCAATGTCCAAGGCAAGAGCAGTGACGAGTGGCATACCTCAGGGGTCAATATTGGGACCAGTGCTGATTAATAACTTTGTTGGCAACACGAACAGTGGGATTGAGTGCACCCTCAGCAAGTCTGCCAACGACATCAAGCTGTGTGGTGTGGTCAACCTGCTGGAGGTCAGGGATGCCATCCAGAGGGACCTGGACAGGCTTGGAAGGTAGGCCTGTGCAAACATCATGAAGTTCAACAAGGCCAAGGGTAAAGTCCTACACATGGGTCAAGGCAATCCCAAGCACAAATACAGACTGGACGATGAGTGGATTGAGAACAGCCCTGTGGAGAAGGACTTGGGGGTGTTAGTGGATGGAAAACTATGAGCCAGAAATGTGCACTTGCAGCACAGAAAGCCAACTGTATCCGGGGCTGCAACAAGAGAAGTGTGACCAGCAGGTCAAGGGAGGTGATTCTCCCCCTCTGCTCTGCTCTCCTGAGACCCCACCTGAAGTACTGTGTACAGCTGTGGGGCCCCCAGTATAAGAATGACATGGACCTCCTTGAGTGGGTCCAGAGGAGGCCATGAAGATGGTCAGGGGACTACAGCACCTCCCTTATGAGGACAGGCTGAGAGAGTTGGGGTTGTTCAGCCTGGAGAAGAGAAGGCTCTGGGGAGACCTTATAGTGGCCTTCTGGTACTTAAAGGGGGCTACAGGAAAGATGGGGAGGGACTCTTTGTCAGGAGGTGTAGTGATAGGATGAGGGGTAATGGTTTTAAACTGAAAGAGGGTAGATTTAGATGAGATATAAGGAAGAAATTCTTCACTGTGAGGGCGGTGAGGCCCTGGCACAGGTTACCCAGAGAAGCTGTGGCTGCCCCCTCCCTGGAAGGGTTCAAGGTCAGGTTGGAGGGGCCTTGAGCAACCTGGTCTAGTGGAAGGTGTCTCTGTTCATGGCAGGGGATTTGGAACTAAAGAATCTCCAAGGCCCCTTCCAAGACAAACCACTCTATGATTTTTAATAATCTTTATGAATTATTCCTTTATTTGCAAAATTGATTTATCATTTTTTTAAAATCACACGTTTGATTTATTTGTGCAGTTTACATAATTTAAAAAAATTCTTTCTATCTCATGACTGTATTTTTGTTTGCTTTTAACTGTCATGAAAGCAAAGATTCCTATGCTATCCAAACCTTAGGCATTTATTTTCTTTAATTAAATTTATTTCCTTTCAGCAAAAAGTCAGAGGACTGTTTTAGTTTCTTCCACCCTCTAAATTTAACTGACTGCCTTTACTAAACTGGTAATTCAACTCACAGTCCTTAGCAAAGAAAGTTCTTCCCTAAAGGACTGCCTAGTTTGGGTCACGTATGCTAAACACAATCTTTTTGTCGCCTTTACTGGTTCATTCCCATGGAAGCATGTAGGGGAATGTGACCCTGGACACGGTAGAGGAAGACCCTGGAGTTTCGAGCTCCAGAATGATGCTTGCTGAATGACTGGACAAGAGTGTAATGAGATGGCAGTGGTCATTTGCAGGTCTATATTTACCTCACAACTGAGGCTGCAAGTGAAGCTGAGTTAGTGTCAGAAAGGTCAGGCTCACCCATCTCATGTAGACTCTCTGCCTGAGCCTCTTCCTTCCTGACCTCTTTTGAGCACATTTGACATGCATTGTAATATTAACAAATAATAACTTAGAAAACAAGGCATCACATGGCCAAATCCTGCCAGTACAGGTATAAGCACTTGTGACAGACCTAGCCCAAGCACAAGGAGGCAGCTGTTCCCTGAACCAAAACCTGAAAGAGTCTTACTTATTTACATCACCAATATCAGAAGCCAGAGGAAGGGACATGAAAGAGGGGAAAGGAGACCATGGGGAGCTGAGGAAATATATGATAATATTTCTCCCTTTCCAGGCTTGTGAGTCTGTTGGTTAGGTCAGCCAGCATGATGAAAAACCCAGTGGAAAGGATGGGAGAAGTGAACCCTACCCAGAACAGCCTCCCTTTTCGATCTGCCTCTTCCACTCTTTCTGCCACACGAGTTGGTCAGTGCTGTGGGCAAATCTGCCCCGCAGCCGCCACGTCTGGTACCCATGTGGCTGAAACACTGGTGAGCAAATTTGCCTGCAATGTTCCTCATAAACAGGGCACCTACACCCAGCCTCCAAAAGTCAGTGTCAGAGTTAGTATCATGCTCCCATAAACAATGTTCACCTGCATTTATCAGCCACTCTAAGGGACTATAATTAATCATTCATTTAATCATAATCTTTTATGTAGCTGATGGTGAAAATGTTCTGTCCCTGCCCATGTCAATAAGGCACACATCCTCCTCCTTTAGCTGGGAAGGAAATGTCACAGACAAAATAACTCATATCTTACTGTAACAGAGGAGGGTATTGTTTTCTGGCCCTCCACAAAGAAAAGAGTATCTCCCCTTCCACATTAGCAGGAAAAATTATTCTACAATCCCATTAGCAAAAAACTATGCTTTTACACGTTCTGTATTTGTGGAGTAAGATCCAGAGCAGCTCCCATGGTACACACAGAAAGATCTCGGAACAGATGGAAGAGAATCACTCTTGCTTGTTTCAACAAGGGTTTCTATTTGCTTGGAGCAAATTCTCATATTTTCATCCATGCTAGAACAACCTCCAAGCCCCACCCATGCCAGAACACATCTGTCTTGTTAAACAAGTTTCATTTATACATGTTCAGCATTTAAAGAGCTCTAAAAAAAAATAACTGCTCAGTACAAGTGCTTCTTAAGTGAAATGCAATCGTGAAAATGCATTGGAAATTCAGATGTGAAGCTGCGTTGAGAACATATTCCCACCATGGAGAGACACAGAATATGCTGGACACCACCAGCCTTAGAGATGCCATCAGTACTTTCACAGGTCTTCTGTTACGCTCAGTATGGAAATGAAGGATTCAGCCTGCATGATTACTGTATGGAAACTGAGCTGATGCATTCACTGGAGAAACTGAAGCTTGAAAACTTCAGCAGACAAACAGCCTCTATGTCTCCTAAATAAACTCTCCCCATTCAAGAATTCAGCAGGGCATTTTTCCATGATAAGCATCTCCCATGTTCCTGAGGTGCTCAGGATCCCACAGGTACGTCATGTATTATTATTGGTTATGCTTTATGTGATTAAATATTGTAGAATGAGAGTTGACCACCTTTGTGGAGGAAGAGTTTTTTATAGGTATGTATATAAAATTATTCATATGAGCCCCAGTCAACTTCTGATTTGGGAAGGTAGACTTGAATATTGGAGGTCTTTACAGTATTTGCCTTGTGCCTTTGGATTTGCAGAGGTATTACTAGGACAGCCCATTTTGTGTGATTGGTATCAAGGACTGATGAAAGCAGAACCATCTAGATCCTTGAAGCGCTACCAAAGCTGTCAGCATTCTCCAGATCCTGAGTCTTGTTAAGAGGAACAGCTGAGAAGATAATTTACAGCCACCTGATACTCTGTTTGCTAGAGTTCTGGCCACAGCTACTTACTGTTAATTAATCGCTGTTCTACAAGGATAATCTATATTCTACAGTTTTCCCTTCAAAGGATTCTCCCTTGGCCCAAATACTGACAGTAACGTCTTGAGAAAATACTCAGAAGAAAATCTGGGTGCTGTGAAGGAGCAGAGCAGGGGGGGTGACAAAGCTAACTGCATCATTCCCTGGCAGCTCATATGAGCTTTTGGAAAGGCTGACGTCAGGCGTGGTATAAAAGACCAACATCATTGACGTAAGATATAAACGACAATGAAAACCCTAATAGTGGCTTACTTTTGAACACCGACGACGTAACTACACTGTGAAGGAACATGTTAGAGAACGGGCCGAGGCTGGGCCGATGACAACGCACACCGCAACAAGGAGCTACGTTCAGCTGGACGCACCAGTCCAGGTCCGAAGGCAGGATAGCCACAATTATTGGATGAGGTGCCCCGAGTGATGAGCTCTGCCCGTTCCCATGCCAGGCCGGGTGTCTCAGTGCCGTGCGTCTGGTTCCCACCTGAGCTGGCAGGACACCGGCCAGGATGCCTGCAGCCAGGGTGTAGCCACGGAGCCCGTGCCTGGATAAGCACTGGCACTTTGGGTATCCACCCGTGCAGAGCTGTGCTGAAATAGGAGCTAATTTCCTCCTGAAAGTGGCAGGTCAAAATATGCTATGCATATTGCAAAGGTCTGAAAACTAATGCCTGCACAAACTGTAATCCAGTCCGTTTCGGTGAAGCTCACAGCAAATCCTCTCACACCGCCATGTGTGCTCCTTTCATTGTAAGTATAGTCTTTCCTCACCTTCGGAAAATGCTAACTACATGTGACATCCTTTCTAACTCCAAAAGAAACTGAAACCTCCCGCTCCTAAGAGGGAGATGGCTGGAAATCAATGGCATTCAAATTCTGAAATAAAATGTGAGAGAAAGTCAAAGCCAAAGTGGGCTCTCATGGTTTTTATATCCATATTGACTCTCTCACTGCAGCATTTCAAAGAGTTAAAATCTCTGGGGAATTATCTGAGCAATACTAGGTGTCATGCAGTTGCCCTATATTGCATTCCTCAGTGACTCATTGGACTGTAACAGCATTGCCTCTGTTGCAGGGCTAGACTAGGTGCTTTTCAGTTTTAAATCAGAAACAGTTGTAAATGTATTTATTTTGCTGGACTTAATCCAGAGAATATGAACTACCACTTGCATGTGCCTGGACGGTATTGTTTGTACCTCTCCACCCGTGACAGCTCACTGAAAGGCCACGTTGTGCCTGAAATAAGAACTACAAAGCAGTAAGCCTTAAAGAAATCTCACCTCCAGGGAAACAGACCCAGTCAAACCAAGATAAAATAAAAGTACCGGAGAAAATAGCAGTATTTTCAAAACCAACTGTTAATAACTGCAACAACCACCAACATGACCATACATGTGCCTACAAGTTGCTTAAGCACCTCCAAATCAAGTTTTGGGTTCAGCCCGTCTTTCCCCCATCTCTCTCGCTCTCCTTCTCTCAGCTTTTCTACAAAAACATATCACTTTCTTGTCATTCACCACTGTGCTATGATTTTTATTTTAAAAAGAGATTTATCAGATAATCTGATATCTGACTATATGATTTTGTAAATATTAATATCTACCACACATACTTCATAGAAACAAATACCAAGCTACATAACAATTCTTATACACAGTTTGAAGAAATACTGTCTTTTTCCCCTCAAAATGTATCATTTCCAACATAGAAGTACATTATGTAGAGACAGGAAAGGAAAGATCCTCAGCCAGCACAAATTCATTCAGTAGCTTTACATCAGCTAATAATTTTGCCCCAGAACCTGTTCCATGGCAGCCACAAAGCCCCAGGTGCAACAGAACAGGCAACAACTTAAATAAACACCAGCAATGATTCAGCCTTGCTAGGAGCAAGTCCGGTCTTTGCTCTGGGACCAGCCACTTCCTTGGGGCTTTTTCTCTGAATAAGTTAGCAGGCTTGGCCAGGATGTAAACTTTCAACTGATGTATTAGTAAAGGAAAAAAGAGATATTTGAAAGCTAAAAAAAGTTATCATTGTGCTCACTGTTTATTCTTATGGATCCCTGAGACTTACTGCTCACAAGCTTGAATCTAACACATAGTAAAACTGAAAAAGCATATAAAACAAACTAGTAAAGAGAACTAATTTCTAAGCAAGTGCAGAGAGAAAATGAATCCCAAACATTAATTTTTTCATTCACAACAAAGCAAAGCACTGGACACTGATGCTAAGGAACCAGAGCCAGGAAACATCAGTGAACTACCTGAAATGCCTACTAGGTATTTAAATAAAACAATTACTTTTTTAGAATAAAACAACAAAAAAATTAATAATCCCACCAACAAGGAAATACAGCAGATCTACCCCATCCCGAACATAAAACACACAGTAAAGAATCAAGAGAGGAAAAAGTAACGATATTAAAAAGACTTACTGATCTAATGGAAGAGCTGCTAATAAAAGTTACTGAGAAACCAGTTGATTTCTGCCTACTGCCACATTAGTTGAGCTAACTACATTAGACTAATGTATTCCTTTTACCTCCGTGTATCAAACCGAATTAGCATAAGAAAATGTTTCCATCAAGAATAGCCTGACACAGCCATAGCGCAGCACAGACTTTACACACTATCTATGCTAACACACGAACTGACAGTATTTCCTTCCAATGTTTCATTAATCATATCCTAGACATTTTCCAGTATCCAATACCACTGATTACTAAGACTTAAAATCTCACTTCTTTTCAGTCCAAATAATATTTAAAACAATACTTACTTATCCTATAGGGAGTTATTTCTGGGGTTTTTTGGCAGCTGCTAATAAAATGCTTTTTTTCTTTATCATATTCCACAAAAATAAATCTAGTTATTTGCAGACAAAAAATATCACAGTTTGTTTTTAGGACTATGATTTTTTATCACTTCCTTAAAATATAAATGCAGTTGAAAGAACACAAGGTGAAAATGCTAACAAGTGGATGACTTTTCACATGCCACTCCAATTCCCCACATTAGCTCCCTGTTGCCATTCCTTGAGCTGCAAAAGCAGAGCTTTGGATTTATAAGCTAAACAAGTTCAGAAAAGAAGAAAAGAAGAAAAGAAAACTTGGTCGTAGTTGTTCTTACTTACCACTTCTTTATTCCCAGACAACAGAGCGAACGGATCAACTGGGCAGCCACTGAAACCTGCAATATATATAGACAGGTGTTGAGCAAAGTTTGCTTTCATCACTGCGCACTAACATTCCTATTTTACAGTCCAGAGGCACTGCCTACCTGCAACTTAATGATCACAATCAACCTTTTTTTAGCAGGAGTGGGCAGCAACCAAGACTGATAAAACTACGGGCTATTTCACACTTATCACATTCTAAAAAATGTCCCATCAGCATTTAAGTACGAGTTACTAATGTGTTCATGTGAATGCTGGGGAACGGTTTGTTCCAACAGCAAGAAAAATTGCTGTCCACCTGATCATTCAGTAATCTTTTTTCCAATAATAATTTTCCAAAAATATTTTGCAATCTCAAAGGTCTGTCAAAAGGGTGTGAAGAAGATGTAGTACTGTTATTTGTCTGTTCAGGTGCCTATTAATCTGCCTAAGAACAGAAGTGAAGGAGAATCAGATAAAAAATGGTGTAAGTAGGAAACACGTAAGAACTTCTTTGAGAACAGAGGATGGAGTTTCATTCTTATCAGTGCTCAATGTTTACAATTAAGGCGAGCTCATTAGCATTTTGGCTGTGGCTTTCCTTCTAAATGAGATTTAAAGATGTAAGGACACCTTTAATAATCATATTCAGAATGCTAGCAAGGAAGAAGACTATATGATATATAGATATGTTATTCAATAAATGCAGTACAGTATTACAGATTAGACAAAGCAGTCGTTAGCATTGCTGTCTGTTCTACTGATGAGCTTAATGGGGAGCTGGGTGGGGCGGGTAATGGGACTGCATTAGGCACTGTAGCTTTACTATCTTTGAATTTTTTCTGTTTCAACAAGCAACTTATACTGAGAAAATAAGCTGTAAACCAGCAGCCTAATCAGCAGATCTGCTTTGTCTGCGTGTATGCAGTCATATCTCCCAGCAGCTTAGTGACTTAGTAACTTAGAAGACTAAAACTCTTTGTTTTTTCCACTTTTCAGTCCCACAGAGACACCCAGCCTTCGGAGCTGTGAGTCAGAACTTACTCTTCACCTGCGTCGGCATCAGAAACGTTTAATAAGCGGTGATCGTAAGAGCCTCCGCAGCCCCACATCATGGCAGCAGAGCCACCGGGCACCTCCCCTGGCCGCAGTGTCCCTGCTGGTGTGCACCCCGCTGCGCCCCGTTACCCTGGGAACAGCTGACAGTGGACCCCAAGGATGAAGGCACCAGTCCTGCCTCGCCCTTCCCAGCTGCAGCTCGCACAGAGATGGCTATGGAAAGGAAACCGATTTTTTTATCTGTGCAAAGAGAGGAACAGTCCAAAGTGGAAAGAACTGATGCAAAATGGACTCAGAGTCAACCTTGGTGGTTCTCAGGCTTGGCTTTCTGACTAGACGTGTACTTTAACATCGCATCTAAAAATAGTAGTTTTTCATTGGTGCCCTACATGTAGGAAATAAGATGAAGCTTTCAACTGGGAATCCTTGTGTTTGAGCTGTGGCTGATTCTCTTCTGAGTCACTGTTTGTGAAACCCAGCTCTGACAGTGAGAAGGTACGAGACAGGCACGTTCCAGGTACCCAGGTAGGGCTCAATCGGTGCGTGGTGACGTCTTCCACAGCTTTTTTATTCCAACGCTGCTCATTGCATTTGCTAAGCACAATCCTATGTGCTGACCATGTTAATGTGCTAGGAAGGCAACAATCCTAGATCAGACCCATTGTATTCTCAAAAAAATAAAAAAACAGTCACTCACACAAAGGCAGGTGATCCATGGTCTGCCTTTGGAAGGCCAGGGTGGGCCTTCTGCAGAGTCAGTCTGGAAGAGCCTCCATAAGGAGCTAGCCACAAGGGATGAAGGTAGGTATGACTTGTTGCAGAAGCCTTTCCCTCTTTTAGAATTGAGCAGAAGAGGCTGAAATTCTTCCTGGTACACCAGGGTAGTCAAAGCAACAGTCCAGAGTGCTTTTCATGCATCTGGCACAGATTCAGAAGATGCTGCTGCTAAGGAAGAAAAACCCAATGACCTTTCTTCCCCCTTTAGGGTTTACTTTGAAGTAACTGTCCTAATTTCAAAAACATATTTGAATAGGGAACATTTAATAAAACAAAGAAAACAAGATAATTTCCAGGGTCCTGATTTCCTGTCACAAAGGTGCTGGATTGCTCTGCAGCTACTTGGACTAGTACCTGTGATAGTCTGGCATTTAGCAGGAGGTGCAACTACAGAAAATGTCTCAAACACAGAATGAGGAAAAATTCCTGGCATGTGCAAATTCTGTGAGAGGTGAACTCTGTCCAGTCACTGTTATATGTTGCAAGAAGTTATAACACAGGCAAGAAACATGTCTACATAACAAGAGATCTGTTCTACAAGCTTCCTTACAGATCTCGCACACAAAAGGGGTACTTGCTGTGCAAATGTCAAAAACGTTCATCTTCAAGACCCAGGCCCTAGTACAGTAAAACAAGTGCACCTAAGTTACAATGAAAATAAAAAATAATTAAAAGGAAGTAAAAGAAATGGTTATCCATCCTGCAAAGGTATCAGATCAGCCCAAGATACATATTCACTAACAATAATATGCCTCAAAAGACAGCATGCATGAGCAAGACTCTCAGATAACATCAGGAAAGAAACTGTCTCTCTTAAAGTTTAATTTCATTTTCAGCATTCCACAAATTCAGAGAATGCACAGCTAAACACTTACTGTGCATTCAAGATGTTGGAACTCCAGAAAACAGCTACATAGATCTTTATTGAAGAGAATTGGTGTTGCTTCCATCATTTGGAAACAACATTGTCTATTTTAACTTATTCAGAAACCTTGAACAAATCTAGTTGTCTACGTTTGGAAACAGCATTAATGTAAATTAACCTTCCCTCTTCCGGATATGTAAAACAAAAAGCCCTAATGATTAAAGAGAGATACCAGTGCTGATTTCAATATGAATTACAGTCAGAACAGTTATTTGCTTAAAGACTTATCCCTACTCAGCTGAAGAACACATTCCTTCTTTGTTTAATTACCTGGAAGAATTTAAGTCCTTAAAGCTTCTTTTATTGCCTGAAAAGTGTTCTGCATGTAAACATTCTAGTAATTAAGTTTATTAATGAAAACGTCCAGTCAGATATGTTTTGTGAATATTAAATTCCATATAGATATACACCTGGGTATTTACTAGGGATCCATATTTGTAGCAGACTCTGATCCTGGCATTATACAGGATGCTTTGATTTTGAAACAGAATGTAAATGCTACAATTTTGTTGTTGATTAATTTATTTTCCATTAAGAAATGTAAATTTGTCTTTGAAGCTTCTATGCCTACCAGGAAATTGTCTGCTTTTAGCTACCCTGTGCTCATCCATTTTAGGTGGCTGCAATGCATCCTCAGAACAATTTTTTCCCCACTATTTTTGCTATAGTTGAGAACAGTAAAGAAGAACTCCAAAAACTACTTTGACAGCAATAAGAAAACACCTAATTTAATATATAAAGAACCTGGATCCTATCACAAGGTTCTGTATTGAAATATTGTGCATTTCATTTCACATAAATTACATGCAAAAAAAATAATTAAGTTATGGTAGTTACATACTTCCAGAGCTGAGTAATGAATAAAGTCATTAAGAGGCAGCATCCAGCAGAGCCAATGCAAGGAATAGGAGGGGGAAATAAAATGTGAAGTGAGAGTCACAACTAGAAAAGCTATAGGAAGAGCTTTCAGACATAAAAAAGAAAATAAATATTTCAATAGAGGAAAGACAGTTTTTATGAAGGAATAATACGGCCAACAATTTTAGACAGACAGATAAGTTTGAAAGGAAAAAGGGACTCTGTTTCAGTCTTATAATAATTGAGCAGCCCCTTCACTATAGAACCAGTTTATTCTCATTACAAACATGCCTCAAATTTTTTTGTCAGTACAAACGCGTCCTTGGCATAGAAGTTAGTGGGGTTATTTTGTTCACAATCTCCGTGATAGCTGTTTTCCATTAAAGTCACATATTACAATTGTTCTTATTCTTCCTGAAGTATCTCATTTTAACTTCCAGTCTAGCTGATGTTCTGCTACTAACGTATACCAGTAGCAACATTTACCGGAGCGTAAGGGAGGGCTCATGCAGAGCCTGCAGCACAGGCGCAGGGGGACGGTGGGTCCGGAGTGGTGGGAGCTCTGCACAGCCCTGCACCCAGACCGAAAGCACTTCCTACCCTGTTCCAGGGGAGACACGACAACAGGCAAAAAGGCACAAGCTGAAACATGGCACATGTGAAAAAATAGCACCAGCAGGAGCCTGGATTTTATTTCGGCCAGAACGCTAAAAATATTAATCGTATCACATGCTTTGGCAACCGAAGCGCAGGTAAATTTTTAAAACTTTTCTTATCACAGCTGTTCTAAACTTTTATGGTTTGTCTAGAATGTTCAACTAAAAGGCTTAAGAAATGTCCATTTACAAAAAACAACCCCAAAACAAAGATCTGCTGATGCTTTGGGGTAAGAAATTTTTAATCACAAAAGAAACCCAATATTATTCCCCTCTTGCTAACCTTTCCTTACACTTTTTATAGTCTCTCCCCTTACCTTGCCCACACCCCCCTCTCCTCCCTGCTCCTGTTCACTCGCTCAACCAATCTTATATTCCACATCCTCCTGTTGCCTCCCACTTTGGACACATATTCATGAATGCAAATAGCATCTTCCCAACAAACAAGTAACAGCGAAGAGGAAGAAGAGAAGTGAAGGGAAATGTGAGAGCTCTTAAATAAATAATAATATTTACACTCTTATGTAAACCTTAATTTACAGATCTCAAGGTGCTTTGGGAATGTAGGCATTATTGACTTCTTTATTATTCAAAGACAATTCAAAGATTTTTTTTTTTAATCCATTGTTTTCTCCCTACACAATTTGTTAACCCTTGGCTTACATGGGACATAGTGTTGCCAGTAGCAGGATGAGCAAGTATAATTACTGGCAGCCCGCTGAGTGTGTTTACACTGAAGACAAGACTCATCTCACATTTCCAACCTGTCAACTTCTTCTGCACCTGCGTTGTACAGCCTGCTGGCCTCCATGCACTGCCTACGGAGCAGCTGCTTGAGTACAACAGCCATGCTTACTTGTTTTCTACCCAAACGACTTCTGCCTAGAAGATGGATTTGAGAGTGACTTGAGGATTTCTGCAAAAGTAAATAATCTCACACTAACATGCTACTCTTTCAAAGGCCATATATGTAATCTGTATATAACTGTACATTCCAACTAAAGCATTAAACATTTCAAACTCTAGTTTTAAAATTACAAATTATTTCATTAATGACACGGTTTGTTACTTATTTTTGCAAAATGCTTGGCAGTACCTCCTTTCTGAGATTTCATTTCTGAGAGAGCTTTTGGACTACTCTAGGTGAGTTACCTAACAGCGATCTGTTGTCATAAGGTGAGAGAATAAATCTCTTTTCTCTGAGTTTACTTTCCATGCAACTAAATATACAACACACTAATTCTGTACAGGTCTTTAAACTAGATCTGCAAAATTAGCAGCAAAATCAAGCCATCTGGTATTTAATAAATCTCAAATACAGTAATTTTCCTTAATATATAGTTCACGAGCAATTACCCATGATTATCATCTAATATGAAGGTCCTTGAATGCATCCAGAGCAGGGCAACAAATCTGGTGAAGGGCTGGAAGGCATGTCCTGTGAGGAGCGGCTGAGGACTCTGGGCTTGTCTAGTTTGGAGAGGAGGAGGCTGAGGGCTGACCTCCTTGCTCTCCACAGCTCCCTGAGGAGGGGACGTGGAGAGGGATGTGCTGAGCTCTTCTCCCTGGGATTCAGTGACAGGATGTGTGGGAATGGCTCAAAGCTGCGCCAGGGGAGGTTCAGACTGGCCATCAGGAAGCATTTCTTTACCGAGAGGGTGGTCAAGCACAGGCACAGGCTCCCCAGAGAGGTGGTCAATGCCCCAAGCCTGTCAGTGTTTAAGAGGCATTTGGCCAATGCCCTTAACATGCTGTAGCTTGGTCAGCCCCCAAGTGGTCAGGCAGTTGGACTAGGTGAGCATTGTAGTTCTCTTCCAACTGAAATTTCTATTCTATTCTATTCTATTCTATTCTATTCTATTCTATTCTATTCTATTCTATTCTATTCTATTCTATTCTATTCTGTTTCTATTTCTATTTCTGCCAGAATAATCAGCAAAGGATCTCAAGTCATGTGCAAGAATGGCCCTCTCTGGAGCGAGCACTACAGTAATTTTCTTACTGCATTAGGCAAAGTAGTTTTGCTGCATAGTTGTGAGATCTTGTAATTAGGAGACATCTCTGTGCCACACATCAGAAAAATTTTCTCCTTCTGTCACAACAACTTCTCCCAGTGACACCTGTACCACAAACTGTTTTGATTGAACCCTACTGTCACCTGTAAAAACTGTGGATGGTTTTGGAGGATTTTATTCTCAGAAACGTGACACTGTATGTGGTTCAGGAACCATCCCCGCTCTCCTTGTGGTATAAATTGGATGTTGGTCCTCAGCCTTAAATTAGACATGGAGAAACATCATTTATTTTCTTTAAAATAATTCTATTCCCATGGACTTTCTATAGGCCTCAGGTGCCTGTCTTTAAGATGCATGTAATTTGTGACTTCACTAGAATAAGAAGACGGGCTCCATCTCTTAACAGCATAGCTTCTTGTAAACTGCTGAAAATTAAAACCTACCACAGACACATAATTACAGTTCCCATTGACTTAGAAGGACTTACATGTACGTATGTAAAACTTCATACAGACTAAGGCACGCAGGCAATAGTTGCTTTTTAATTGTTTACAGTTCCTCCTTTTACACAAATATTTCTGACTTTATAAGAGTTTATTAAGGGAGTAATGAGATCAATATTTGCTTTTCCACAGGAAAGCTAGAATTGACACAACGTAAACCTGAAGAGGAATCCATGCCAAAAAAATGTTTCCTTACAGCTCTTAGACTTAGTTGATATGCAGGGTTTTCCCTGCCTGTTTCCCTTAAAAAACAGAAACTAAGGAGAGTGTTTTTACTGCAGCTGTGTCTCTTTACAAAGAAAATATATAACAGCCTTTCCTATGAGGCACAAAAACCAGAACTCAAAGGTAATGAATAAATCTCTGAACCTTTGGGCTCAGTGCTGGCAGAAAGGTGCTTCAAACAGTGAGGCAGGGAAAAGTAAGCAAGGGACTTAAGAATCAAATCACAGCAAAATATTATCTGTCTTGTCCTTAAACTGAATTCATGAAATGGGAATTTGAATGTTTCTTGGAAACGCAGAGGAATACTTCAAGGATACATGACTCTATCATTAACGTTTTTTTCCTAAAGCAAACAGAGCCAAACTTTGGCTGATTGTTCAAATCCAAAGAGGTAATACTACAGCAGAGACCATCTTCTTGCTGTAAAAGGTGGATGTTGTTAACTATTAAAATTATTATGAACAATTTGTCTGCATAGGAAAATATAATTTTACCTGTCTAAAAAAGATTGATTGATAAACCTCTGGGTATACAGTTTTACTGCCCTTTAAAGCCCCTTCAAACTTACGCCCAAATATTATGCCTATCGATGAGCATGAATTTCCTGGCATAGCATGACCTAATTAAGCTGTTGCTTTCGAGTCTTGCTAAGTGTCTCTATCGCTTTGCAGGAGCAGCGTCTTAATAATTGTTTACTGCACTTTCATTAAAATTGTTGCAGTATCAATAAAAATTACAATACCACAAACCTAAGACTACCATTACTTTAAAATTAAGTGTTTCTTTGTTCAAGTAACAAGCATAAATTAGTGCAGCAAGAAGACAAGAATTGCTTCTTAATTGTACTGGAAGGACTTTTTTTTAAACCTAAAGGTAACAAGTGTCATTTTGCATATATTAAGATTTAAAGAGGTGTCTCCGTTACAGATGATGCGTAACTCAAGACTTACAGAGTTGTAAAACTGTAACTTTATGCTAATTTCAATAAATTATGTATAGCCCATTTACAAATACGTTACGTGCTGTCCTTGATCCCCACACCGTGCTTGGATTGGTCTGCTATTTCTTTATCGGTTTAGTCTCCACAGGCCTCATAAACTGTTACTGGTTACAGGAAATAAGATTTGGCTTATCAGCCTTCTCCCTTGTTAGTCACAGCAAGGGTTTTCACATGCCATATACCACAGCGCACTTTGTTTCATTATTACTTGAGTTTGAAAAAAGTCCGTAGAGTTTCTTTATCTGAAAGATATTATTCAGTAAAATAAAAGAGGATGAAATAGACAGCTTGTGATATTCAGAGCTATTCAAAACAGATATTTCAGAATAATTATTGCATATGACTTCTCCACAGACTGAAGCCTTTGATCTGATTTAATTGTTCCATGCTTGCAGTTTTCTTTTCACTGAAACTTAGTGTCAGAAATAATGACCAGGGCTTTCTTCAGCTCATGTGCGTTAAGGACAACAGGGCACCCTGTGCCCGGGATGAAAGCCTGCCCAGGGTGCTCGCTGGGAACCACAGCCCACGGGACAAATGGTGCTGAGGATGCGGGTGGGAAGGAGTCACCCACCCGTGCTCGCTGCCCCAGGCTGTGGCCCCGGACCTGCCCCTGGTCCTGCGAGGATGCTTAATGCGTGCTGATAGCTACACCAAGGCCTGGGGGCACTCGAGCATCATTTCTAGAGGTGGTGCCTTGGGAAACACACGGCTCTTTCTCATGAACGAATAAATGGTGTGAGGAAGTATGAGCCCTGGAAAATGGGACCACAGTGAACTGTCCAGGTTTCCAGCGGAGCGCACAGTGTGATTGCACACACCGAACCAGTGCACAAGACTTGATCCAACTCCCTCCCTTCTTACTCACAGAAGCGATCTACATAAATGTTGTTACCATTTGCAGTTTGTCTTTCATGTCTGCGATACGTCATGCACTTACCTGCAAAGATGAAGCACTCTTATGTAGCAGGATATTACAGAGGTGAAAACAGAAAACCATAACAGCAAAGGGTAGCACGAGGAAGAAGAAATAGTTTCTACAAGCCATTTATTTGTAACATCAAGCATGTTATTGTGTCTTTTTTACTGACTTACTGATATTTCCTCTGGAAAGTCACCGCTTCGTGTTGTTCTTAGTCCCACTGCTTTCTGCAAGGCGTAGTATTTCCTATGTGGCAGGTTTAACTACTGGTCTTGCACTTTGAAGATTAAAGCAGACCATAAACAGTATTGACGCAAAGCCAGCACAGTCTATTCAGGAGCCATATAGAACCATTTCCAGCACCTTAGGTGTATTCTGTAAACCAAATACATAAAGTTAATTATGTCTGATAGTAGTATAATAATAACATCTGGTGTTTGTATAGTGCATTTCACATTAAAGGGAATTAATCTGTTACAGCATGTTGAAGATGTAAGATTGCGAGATATAAATGGTTAAGAGCAATTCCTGGTGAAGGACAAGTTAATGTTGCCTGGGATGGATACCATACCATACATGAGATACCAACATGTCTGTATTCTGCAATCTTTGTTTTAAACTTTCCAGATTTCAGGTGGTCTTGAGCTTAAAATTGTTCTTTGAAGGGGAGGACAGGGAGATGCCCGTTTTGAACAACCATTTCCGAGAACTTTCTCAGCTTGAAAGTACTTTCTTAAAAGAAGTGCTTTAGTGGCAGTTTTATCTGTGCCAGTAAGCACAGGAACGTTGAGGTGGCCAATCTGAGAAAGCTGAAAACCTTTCTGCTGCTCACCCCATGCAGCTGTCCCAGAGTAACGTGTCAGCACCCGCAAAAGTGGGGCCATCCTCTGGGACCAAACTGGGGGTCCACAGCCTGGTGATGAGGAAGAGCTGGCAGGGCCGGGGAAGGGCACAGCGGTGCCGCTGAACCCCACAAGCCTCACGTCTGGCAGCTTGGTTGTGGTTTGCAAGGACAGGCACGGAGGGAGGGAGGGAGGGAGGGAGGGATGGGAAGGAGGACGTGGGCTGAGGTGTTCTCTGCACAGCCGCAGCGGTTAATGAGCGAGCTGGGCCTCGCGCTCAGCCACCAGCAAAGCCAGCTGCCCTGTCACCTGTTGCCACGCAGAAATGTTCACCGGCGCTAACGAAAAGGGCGAGACGTGCAGATCTCATCCTCCCCCCATTGAGTTTACAACCGGCCAGAAGGAAAAGAAAGTTCACAGACCTGGAGGTTCAGGGCGTAACTTGCTGATGCTTTGTCTAGTCTGTAGATCCTGGTGATACAGTAAAACTGTTCACGGGCAAGAAAATGCTGGATTTTGTGGGCTTCGGATTGCAGGGATTGCAAGAAATGTTTGCAAGATACAGCTCCACCTTTTCTTTATTTTTTCTGTTCTGAATTAGGACAATCTGGATGCTATGGCCATTTCTGCCACAGTGTTAACTCTGGCAGGTGGAACAAGCCTCACTAAAGGAATTTTAGCCTTGGCTTGAGAGTCAAGAATTAAAAATGTGGCATTAGAGCTACAGTGGAGTTTCTCGTGTTGGAAGATGACTCCTTCAGTACTACAGAAGGACAGAGAGCCAGAATTGGATAGATAAATTACTGTCCCTAGACTTATTACTCCAGCTAATGAAAGCAACAGTTGACTGCTAAAATTCTTGCCATCCACTTATTTCATATTTCATATAAGTTTAGACTGATTTCTAGTATTGCAGTCCTCATGTACTTTTGGTACGATACTTTGAACCTTGTCAATACTGATTGACTGACTTACATCTGTCAGCTCTTCACCAACGTCACACTTCTCACAGTAATACTTCTCCTCCAGATTCAGATAGTCCTTCCTTTCTGAGAATATACTCACAGTTCCACAGGAACAGATAAGGAATTCAGGAATCCTAGAAAATAAATGTTTTTTATTTTAAAAAAATTGTGAGTTAGCAAAACCTACCTGCACTTGATTTTGTGTTTTATCAGCCTCTATATGTCAATAATTCTTGCCTTACAAATTTTTCTGAGGCCTTGCACACTACAACATACCTGTATTGGCTCGATCATTGTTTTCTTCCTTCTTACATGGATAATGAGCCACACTTGTTAGTTCCAGTCCTGTTGTCTCCCTCTTGGACTGACAGACATTTAAGTTGGCTGACCCACAAGTCCCTCTGCCCATTATTTCAGAATTTGGGGTCACAGGTAACCAGCCTACCCAGCACACTGCAGCTCTTGCTGCCATTTCAGGTATGGTCCATATATTCCCACACCTCAGACCCTAATTGCTGCCCTGTGTTTTCCCCCAGGAAGAGTAGTCTTCTTCTTTTCTCCCCCTTAAAGACACACCACTAACATGGTGATCAACTCGAGACAGAGATACTCACATAGCCAAATTTCTTTTAGTGGTAAAGAAAAGAAAAGAACATTTGAGCAATGTTTAACAAATCATTTTACCTAAGGCCCACCATGGATCCTCCCTGGGTATAAGATTATCTGCTATTTAAAGACAAAACACACACCTATCATTTCCACAGCCAGAAAAAGCTTGTACGGAATATTCATTCTATTTTACTCTCATGAGCCTTTTGAGGTTCTATGCTTTTGGACATAATATCACTTTTAAAAAATCCTTTCTTATATGCTCTTTCGTTAGGTAGATCTTGGAGGCAAGAACTCCCTTATAGACCATGTCATCACCTCAGCTGCTGTTACATCAAATAATTGCATGTAAGAACACACTGCACCTAAGGATTGCACGTGCACCACGGAACTCGCTGGAAACCTTTATTCACCAAATGCAGTTGCATACAAAACAGTGTGTCAAAAAATGCCTGAGAAAAAAAATGGGGGGACGCTTTCAGTCATTACAGTAAATAATACTTTCCTACCTGACAGCAGAGAAATTTTATTTAGTGTGTCACACAGAGCAGCTGGTGCAGCCTTCATCTGGTGCCAAGTCACACCGCTCGTGCCTCTAAAGGGTACCTGCTCAGTTCAGGACTGCTGCTCTCAGCCAAAGACACAAGCAAACAGTGCCAGGTCAGGATGGCTGCTAAACTGGCAGTGGCAGGTCTCCTATGCCCACCCTGAGATGAAAAGGCTGGGACAGAGGAAGCCTCTGGGGAGGAGGAAACCACTCCATAGCCCTTGAGTACAAAACCAGAAGCTGGAAAAGCTTAAAGGAAAGTCCTCCCACCTTTCCTGGGAATTGGTCAGGCTTTCTGGCACAACTTGAGTCTTGCCCAATACAGAAATCACTGCGTAGGAGAACCAGCGTGGCAGATCTCAGGTACCCTGGAGAAGAAAGAAACCGGTCTACCACCCTCCACCTTTAAGGCCCTTTCAATTAACTTTGGGTTTATTACATTTCATTCAAACCAGCTTGAATAATTTATTACTTATATTTTGTAGAAGGCTAGCACAGCAAACACTGTCTTGTATTCGGCAATAGTGTACAAAAAGATAATCAGGAACTTGGAACTGAAATTAAATATGTCAAGCCACTAATCACAGCTTGATGGAACAACATAATACTCCAGTGTCTCACTGGCCATATATTCAGGGTTTTGTCATTTGAGCACTTCAAGAGAAATGGGAGCAGATCACTCAAGCTGCCTTTTTGAAACATTGCCTAAAACCTCAAGGAGTCAGGAAAGGAGGTTAGAGTTGAAGGTAGGTGTTTGGTACCTTCCACTTTTTTTAGGGAATGCTGATTTGTCAAATCTCTTTGTGATTCATACATTTTATAATTATAAAACTTCTGAAGGAAAGGTTTCTTGGACTCAGATTTGGACTGTTGTTCAAAAAAGAGGAAACGTTTGTGGGATGTGAGCCCGGAAAGTTTAGTTCATGAGTAACTCCCAGTAAGGCTTGACTGTACATCCTCTTCCAACCACAGCTATTCCATGCAAACACCTGTGGACAGGGTCATTTGAGTAGCAATTGCTGGGGCCAAGAGCTACTTAAGCTCATTTTCACTTTAAAAGATTAAGAGTTGATAACCTGAGCAACCCAGCAGCAGAGCTGGCTTTGGAGCAGAGGCAGCCATCTGACAGGGGCCTGATGATACACATCTTCTAGCTAACGCTGTTGCCCTTCATACAATAAGAAGTGACCAAAATTTTCAATAGCAATCAGCATATCAAATTTTGTATGTTTAACACCAAGTACTGATTGCCTGGTGAGTAAGACTACAAAAGAAACACGATAAGGTTAGAAATAAATATCTTATATTCACTTAGTGATCAGAAAATAGAGAAAACAATAGCCTTCTTATTGTTGCCCATATCAGATGTGTATCATTCCTGGATTCGAAAAGAATTGAGGGCCCATGTGTGAAAGAAATTTTGCATCCTTATAATAGCAAATTACAACAAAACTCAGGAAATAAAGACAATTATTTATAGGCATATAAAACATAAAGGTCAAACTAAATGAAGGTTTAAAAGTGAGAAGTTCAAATAAGGAAAGAAGAAGAGAAAAACAGATAATAGGTATAGATAATAACTACAGTACCATACCAAGAAAGTAGTTAAACACAAAGCTTAAAATGCTTTCAAAAATCCAAAATAAATGTGCAAAACAGTTTCAAATTTTGATAATTTCCTTAAACATTAATCTTCTACTGACTCATAGGAGTAATTTGAGGACAACACTTTTAAGAGATCCTCCCATGGAAACACCTCCCTCATGGTGTTGTTTGCCACATATTACAGATATATAAGCAAACTATAAGATAATTCCACCTTTCTTTGAGCATTAATTCACATGAAAATCCCCTCTTCTGAACACTACTGCTTTTACATTCATATGATTCAGATGTTTAAATTTGATTAAATCTAACAGTGACTGTTTATAAGAATAACAAGCAATTGCCAAGAAGAGGTAAAAAGTACTTATGGATGTGATGAGTATCATCAAAGAATTAAGATCTGTAAAGTTTAATGGCATTATTAAAAGCTGGCATTTCTTGTGATATAGACCAACAAGAAAGCATGTGACCTTTCTAGTGCTGATCTTAACTTCCTCTGGTTAGAAAAATGCAGCTTCTCTGTAAATTCCTTATTCCCACTGGAGAAAAAGAAAAAGAAGATATTTCTAAATCTGGCATTCATCTGAGTTCTAGGCAACAAGGCAAAGTAAAATCAGTTCTTGAAAATTTGGAAAAAAGTTGAGCTGAAG